ATATTTTACTTTTGGGTTTCTCTTCTGTAACTGTGGACAGTATTTGTGAGAATTTGTTTCTGCATAAGATTTTATACAGTTATTTAATTAAACTAATTAAATGGCTGCATCTGGACTGGCAAGTTTTTCCACAAAAGCAGCTGCTTTTGTGGAAAAACTTGCCAGTCCAGATGCAGCCATTTAATTAGTTTAATTAAATAACTGTATAAAATCTTATGCAGAAACAAATTCTCACAAATACTGTCCACAGTTACAGAAGAGAAACCCAAAAGTAAAATATGACCAGTCCACTCTACACGGACACAACAGGAAAAGAGGGAGAGAAAAAAGCCCCGATCGGGGCTTTTTTGCGCAAAACCGTGTCTAGATTGGCACTGACGCTTTTCTGCAAAAAGTGCTTTTGCGGAAAAGCGTCCATGCCAGTCTTAGACACTCTTTTCTGTAAATGTTTTTAATGGAAAAACTTTTCTGTTAAAAGTATTTGCAGAAAATCATGGCAGTCTAGACGCAGCAGGGAGATCAGAGAGAAACAGTACAATCTCAGTTACAATGGGGGATTTCAGCTATCCCCATATTGACTGGGGACATGTCACTTCACGACGGGATACTGTCACCAACATGGGGAGGGGCCATTCTTGCTCAGTGGAGCACGGGTTCTGGTCCCAGAGGTGACAAGAGCTGCATCACTTAGGAACAGTGACCACCAGATAATTAGATTTAACATCCCTTTGGCAACAAAAACATCTCAGCAGTTTAAGCACTGTGTAATTTAATTTCAGAAAGGGGAACATCACAAAAATGAGGGGGTTAGTTCAACAGAAATTGAAAGTTACAGGCCAAAAGTGACATCCTGCAAACTACAGGAAAAATGTTTAAACCCACCACGCTAGAGGGTCAACTTAAATGTATACCCCAAATTAGAAGACTCAAAAGGGAATAGCAAAAGAACATGTCGTTTGTGAGAAGAAGGAAGCTGCTAACCAACCAGTGGATGATCAAGATATGAAAGGACGATAAGAACATTCAGAGAAACAAAATGGATTCTTTGCATTCGTCTCCACAGCGGAGGGTAAGGGAAGTTCCCACACCTGAGCCGTTGCTTTCAAGTGAGACATCTGAGGAAATGGTCCAGTTTCATGGGAGAAGAGGCAAGGTTCCATCGTAACTTGGTAAGAGGTAGGAAGCGAAGGGTAGGAATAAAGGATCATTTTCAGACTGGACAGTGGTGACTAGTGGTGTCCCGCAGGGGTTCACACCGGGGCCAGTGCTAGTCACTATATTCATAAATAATCTAGAAAAGAAGCTAAACAGTGAGGAGGTAAAATTTGCAGGGGATACCAGAGCACTCAGCTGAACCCAGAGCAGACTGCAAAGACTGACAAAGGGGCCTGACAGAACTGGGCGTCCGAGGGACAAAATGGCGGATGACATTCCACGTTGATAACTACAACGTAATGGGCATTGTTAAAGCATCATCCCCACTGTACATGGAAAGTGCTGAGGGGTCCAAAAAAGCATCGTGCCTGGTCTGAGCCAGAGGGCTGAAGAGGGTGATGTGGCCCCCTGAATTTGTTCTGTCCTATTCACACCTCACCTGGCCCCGAGCCTGCACGTTCCCTGATGTGACTAACGGACAAGTTTTATTGTACATTTATTTTTAATTCTTTGTGGAGGGCCTGGGATTGCCACGCCCAGGATCACGGCTGGGGGATGGGTTTGTGCGACGGAGCCTGGGCGGTGCTCCCTAATAACGGATACATGTGACTAATATCCCAAGGCTGTGTGTTCGAATCACCTCAGGCCGCTGAATGTCCTCAGAAGTTGCCAGTGTGGTGTCCTGACAGGGATTTCGCTCTGTCAAAAGCGCCCTCGGTGCACTGCCCAGGCTCTATGCTGAGAGCCACCACAGCAGACCCCGCACGACGGGACACGGTGGGAAGGTGCCCGGCCAGGTTTGTTGTAAGTGAAGCCTGGTCTCTAGCGCCCTGGCTCAGACGTCTACAGTTCTGCTGGTACCCGAATGCCCTGAGAAAGGACTCAGCCCAGACAGCGGTGGAGTCAGGACTCCTGGGTCCCATCGCAGACTCTGCCACCCAGTCTTCCAGCCCTGGGTGGTTGGTTGTGTGGCGGTTGCGAGCACGTTGCCACTACACTTGCAGCCTATTTCGGAATGTAGGCATTCGGAATTGCAAATCAAGCCCAGGATTTAACTATCCCGGGCTTGATTTGCATCTCCCTGTCCAGTTGCCATTTTTGAAATGTACAAGCCCGAAGTAACTGCCCGCGTCTACGCGCAGCAGAGAAACGGCCGTTCGAAATAAAGCCCTATTCCGAAATACCTGTTATTCCTCCTGCAATGAGCTTTATTTCAAACGCCTGTTTCCCTTCCGCGTGTAGACGCGGGCAGTTACTTCGGGCTTCTAAAGTTAAAAAATGGCGACCGGCCAGGGAGATGCAAACCAAGCATGGGATATTTAAATCCCGGGCTTGATTTGCAATTCTGAATGCCTACATTTGCAGCCTTATACTGAATTAGGCTGCAAATGTAGACATGCCCTCAGGGAGCTTGGCCAAGTCCCAGTACAGCCTAGGGCCTCGCTTTCCCCTCCAAACATTTGCCTGTGCAGCACCTCTTGTGCTGGGACTCCGACCTCTGACAGTGTTGCTCAACACCCAGCAGGATGGGGGCTCATGATGTCTTGCCACAGGACACACAACTAATGTCAACCAGCTCTATCCAGCAGGATGAGGGGGGTGGATGGGGCAGGAGCATGGGGGATCCAGGGGACAGCTGTGGGTGGGAGGACAGAATGACACCCTCTGGGGCAGCTGGAGGGTTCCCCTCATTTCTTTACCCATGTCTTCAGGGGACACAGTGTCTCCAAGTCGAGCCTCGTCCCAGGTCCCCCACGTGACTCCTGTAGCTCACCCAGACTGGCTCAGCCGGCAGCAGGAAGCCGTGCGTGGGGGTGTATCTGGGAAGGTGAACAATGGGGGGAGACCAAAGGATGTAGCTGGGTCCAATCACATCTGCAAAGCCTGGAAGGTCTCCAGTGGCCACTGCAACCTGCAGTTTTCATGTGAATCACAAGTTTCCTACACACACCCCTGGCCCTAGCAAGCTGTCTGCGTTCAGCAGCCACATCCAGGGTCAGGGCGGCAGGGCAGCCAGCGGAGAGCTGGGGCTGAGACCAACATGTCCAGGCAGCTCCACCAGGAGAGGTCCCAGGAACAGAGACCCCCAGCTGGGACTTTGCCCCCTCCGATCCCCTCCCAGCTGGGACAAGAGACCGGAGCCTGGCAGAGAGTCGGCCGCATGAGATCTGAGCCCGGCCTCTGTGCAGGAACCACACCCTGCGTCAGGCAGTGGAAAGGAAACCCTCGCGCTGGGCTGCAGACCACACAAACCACAGCTTGGCCTTCGACCTGCCTGCATCTCGTCTCCATCGTCTGCAGACCCCAGGCCTTAGGCAGGTTTTGGTTCTGCCTGAGCCCCCAGAAGAGCTGGTCTCAGGCCAGCCTGGGACCCATTCCCAGGGGAACCTTGCTGGGCAAAGGGAGGGGTTCCCTTGCTGTATCTGGCCCTGGTGCACCAGGTGCTGGGATCCCCTGTTTTCCTCTTATGCATGCTCCGCTCCCCTACTGCCCCCCAGTCTTTGCCCTGCATCTGGGAATGTGGGAACTGCAGTTCTGCATTGCAGGGTTCACGAACTGTTAGTCCCCATTCTGAATTCATGTGCCTAGTGAGGAATCCGTGTGTCAAAGAGCATTTCCCGAATCTCGTTTGGTTTCTGTTTTGTCACATACTGCTGACAGCTCTTGTGAAAGTCATAAAACCGTAGAGCTGGAAGAGACCTCAGGAGTCATCAAGTCCAGCAGCCTGCCCTACGCAGGACCAATCCCAACTAAATCAACGCAGCCAGGGCTTTGTCAAGCCGAGACTTAAAAATCTCTAGGGATGGAGATTCCAACCCACCCTGGAGAACCCATCCCAGTCAAAATGGTTTTTCCTAATATCCAACCTGGACCTCTCCCACCACAAATAAAACACCACCCCATGGTGATGTCACCGTGAACTGTTCATGAAAACACATCGACTCAGGGTGAAGCAGCGGCAAAAACAAAACTGTATTGAAGATTGGCGGCATTAAGAAAAGGACAGCGAACACTTCAGAAAAGGTCGGATCACATGGCCTCTCTTGGAAGCCGTGGGACGCTCCCACCTTGAAACCTGCATAAACGTGGAACTGGAAAGGGACCGAGAGGGGCGACAGAAACGATCAGGGTATGAAACAGCCTCTCTATCAGGAGAGATCAAAGAGACTGGGACTGCTCAGCTCGGAGCAGAGACAATAAGGGGGGATATGACAGAGCTCTATAAACACATGACTGGCATGGAGGAGGTACATAAGGCAGTGGTCCGTCTTCCTCCACCTCATAACACAAGCACTAGGTGTTGCCAAATGAATTGAGTAGGTGGCAGGTTTAAAACAAGCCAAAGGAAGGATTTCCAGAGGGGAGAGGAAGGCAGGGCCCTCGTGCGGTGCTCCGGCAAGAACACTTGGCTGCAGGAGGAGGGATGCTCCCATCCTGGAATCAGGGAGTAGGTGGCAGGTTTAAAACAAGCCAAAGGAAGGATTTCCAGAGGGGAGAGGAAGGCAGGGCCCTCGTGCGGTGCTCCGGCAAGAACACTTGGCTGCAGGAGGAGGGATGCTCCCATCCTGGAATCAGGGTTCCTGCCATGCTCAGCAGAAGCCCTCAGCCCTGAGGGGGCTCCCCCCCACAATTTCTTGGCTGTTGTCATCAGGCAGGCTTTTTAATCCAGAAAAAGGAGGCCCAGAATTCACTTGCCATAAAGCACAATTTTGGGGTCAAAAAGGAACTATTAGTTCCAGTGCACAGAATTCTTCCTCCAGGCAATATCGACTTTCTGGACCCTGTATCCCCTAAAATTGGCCCTACTGGGTGCAGCTCAGGGTGGGAAGAGCTGGAGGATGGGGCTAGTTGGCCGGTTCCAGCCCTGGGTGGTTGGTTGTGTGGCGGTTGCGAGCACGTTGCCAGTATCTCAGAAACTCTTCCTCCATGGTGAGGTAGAAGAAGGGGTTGAGGCAGCTGTTGACATATGACAGGATACAAGCAAATGAGCTCTCTATTTCCAGAAGAGTCCACGAGTGCGTAGCTGAGAGCTGCAAGAAGTAGAAGACGTGATAGGGCAGCCAGCAGACGAAAAAGGTCGGGATCAAGCCGAGAAGGATCTTGAGCGGCTGGGTGGCCTGGATCAGCCGGTTCCTGCCCAGCCTGGCAGTGTGAATAACGCAGAAGGTTGGGATCAGGCTCAAGGCTAATGGGACCAGAAACCCGGCCAGGAACTGGATGGTGACGGCGGTCTTGGCCCTCTCTGGATCCACTTGGAAATTCATGCTGGTGCTGGGAGGTGGAAGGAGGGATTCCCAGAGGTCATCGCATCGCAAGCTGAACCCAGCAGACAGGGCCCAAGTGCCCAGAGCCACCCAGCAGGCCAGGCAGGGCGTGCAGCGTTTCTGGGCCCACTCAGGCCGTGCGGCGAGGAAGCAGCGATGGATGCTGATGGCCATGAGGAGAAAGGCGCTGGAGAACATGTGCAGGGAGGTGATGGTGCTGCTCAGCCTCCTGGCCCAGTCTACTTGCAGGAAGAAGATGAAGGTGAGTCTGAGGGGTATGCACACTGTGAATATTAAATCGGACACGGCCCGGTTGAGGAACCACACTGCGCTGGCCGTCCTCTCCACATGGCAGCTGGTGATGAGGAGGACGTAGCTGTTCAATGGCACCCCGGCAAGGAAGACCCAGCCACACAGCACCAAGAAGTAGTTCGGGAGGAACGTCATTCTCAGAGGCACTGCCGACACGATATGGCCCCCTTCTCCTCAGGGCTGGGCGGGGGCGGGCCAGAGTCTGGGGTGAGGGGAGGAAGGGAGAGCAGTGAGAAGGGCTGCAGGACAGGAACAGAGAGACAGAGGCGGCGTTTATAAACTCCCAGTCCCTGGGCTGAGCTGAGGTGGGATCGAATCCTTGTGGGCCGATGGCCCCAGTGGTACGAAGCCCTTAGAGGCAGCGAACCGCAGGGAGAGCAGGGGACCGAAAGGGTCGACTCAGTGAGCTCACTGCCGAGATGCAGGGTTTGTTTTCTCTGGACCCAGCCTCAATGGGTTTTGGTTTTACATTGGAGGGGAGAGGTGACCCAGCCCAATTTTAATAAACCACTTTAGCTTCTTGCCGATCATTTGTGTTTTGAAACCAGTGGAGGGGGAGAAGGGGCGAGG